GCAGGTCCAAAGTCAATGTTGAAGCCTGTCTGGGCAACTTCTTTCCTTTGGGAACTGGTAAATTTGTCATTTTGTGTTCATCTGGATTGTAGCTAATCCCTGTCTCAATTTCATTACATCAGAGTTTATGAATACCTCTGCTATGTTTATAGTGCATGTGATCAAATTCTCTTGATGTCCTGATGTCTCGAGCTTATGGGTCTTAGTGTTAAAAATTTGAATCGACTCTGCACCCCCACTCCCTTTTTGGCAAGCATATGTTTCTTGATTCAGACAGAATGAAAATGTACTTCCTATACTCCTCCACTCCCGAAATTCATTCCTTTAATTTTAAGAATATGCCTCCTTGTTTTGTGTTACTCTGTGGGATATGATCATTGCTATGAAATCAGCATTGTTTACCCATCCATCATTGATCTTGAGAAGTGGTGTTCAGTTGCTCCCTTGAACTGTTGTACTTTGTTTGGTATAGACCATGAGACATAGGAGCAGAATTAGGCCATTTGACCTATTGAGATGCACCACCTTTCAATCATGGCTGGTATGTTTCTCAACCTCATTCTACTGCCTGCTCCCTGTAACCTTTGATCGCCTTAGCAATCAATAACCTGTCTAGCTCTGTCTTAAATGTCCTAAATAACTTGGCCCTCTGTGACAGTGAGTTACATAGATTAACCTCGCTGAAGAAATTCTTCCTCATCTCCATTCTAAAGTGTTGCCCCTCCCCTCTAAGGCTGTGCCCTTGGGTCCTAGTCTCTCCTACCAATGCAGACATTTTCTCCACATCTGCTGTGTCCAGGCCTCTCCGTATTCGGTAAGTTTATAGAAATCCCTCCCTCGTCCTCCTAAACTCCATTGAGTGCAGGTCCAGATTGCTTGACAGCCCTTCATCTCTGCAATAATTTTTATGAACTTCCCTTAGACCCCCTACAATGCCAGCACATCTTTCCTTCAATGTGGGCCCCAAAACTGCTCTCAATATTCCAAATGCAGGTCTATCCAAAACCCTGTACAGCCTCAGCAGCATGTCTTTCCTCTAGTATTCTAGCCCTCTTGAAATGAATGCTAATGTTGCATTTGCCTTCCTAACTGCCAGCGGAACCTGCACATTAACCTTAACAAAATGCTGAACTTGGACTCCCAAGTCCTTTGGTGCTTCACATTTCCGAAACCTTTCCCTGTTTAGCAAATAGTCTACATTGTCTGTTCTTCGTACCAAGATGCATAAACTTCACATTTATCCAAATTGTTTTCTGTCTGCCACTTTTATACTCACTCTCGTAGCCTGTCCAAGTCCTTCTGCAGCCTCCTCAATTCCTGAAGACTAGCTGTCCCTCCATCTGCATACTTAGCAACATTGCCCTCAATTCCTTCATCCAGATAGTTAATGTATAACGTGAATAGTTGTAATCCCTGCAGAACTCCGTTAATCACTGGCTGCCAGCCTGACAAAACCCCTTTATCCCTACTCTCTGCTTTCTACCAGTCAGCCAATCTTCTGCCCATGCAAGTACCCTAACATTATGTTCTCTTATCTTATTTAGCAGTCTCCTGTGTGGCACCTTATCAAAGGCCTTCTGGAAATCCAAGTAGATCATGTCCACTGACTTTCCTTTGTCTAGGTATGCCTACAGTGTTGTTTGGAAACTCAGCAGGTCTAGTGGCAGCAGTAGAGAGAAAAACTAAGTGGACGGAGTGAATAGAGTACATGGAGACAGTGCCCAGAAAGTGGGGGTGGGAGGGGAAGAGAGAGAGCAAAAGGGATAGACAGACATCGTGATTGTTGATGATAAAATGAGAGAGAGAAAAATGCTGCGTAGGGTGCTGGCAAAAATGTAGTTGGTTTAAAATTGGTTGGTTGTGCTGGGAATCACGCATACAAAACAGAGCTGGTGGGTGTTTGTGGGTTGGGGGTTGATTAACATGGAGGAGTATTCTCATTCTGAAGTTTTTAAACTTCACATTGAGTCCTGAAGTATGCCAGATATCTTGGTGGAAAATGAGATATTGTTCCTCCAGTTTGTGTTGAGCCTCACTGTACCACTGCTGCAGGCCTGAGACAGAAATGTTGGCCTGGGAACATGGTGGTGTATTGAAGTAGTAGGCAGCTGGAAGCTCGGGGTCATTTTTGTGGACAGAGCGTAAGTGCTTCGTAAAGCAGTCACTCTGTTTGCATTTCTCCCCAATGTACAGGAGACCTCATTGAGTAGACTAGATTGAATGAAGTCCACATAAGTCATTGGCTCACTGGAGGTATGTCTGGGGCATTGACTAGTGAGATGGGAGGAGGTAAACCGGCAAGTTTTGCACTTTCTGCGATAGTATGGTAATGTGGTGTGGAGAATGTGTTCGGAGTGGAAAAGGAGTGGATCAGGGTGTCCTGGAGGGACACTGGAATGCTGACAAGGAAGGGAAGGGGAATGTTTGTTTGGTGGTTGCATCCTGCTGGAGGTGGCAGAAATGGCAGCTTATGATCCTTTTGGATATGAATGTTGACAGAGTGAAAAGTAAGGACCAGAAGATTCTGTTGTTGTTGTGGCAGGGGAGTGAAGAGGTGAGGACATAAGCGCGGTGCATGGCTGAGGGCTCTGTCAACCATGGTGGTGGGGAATCCTTAGTTGACAATTCTGAGGCCTCCTGTATAAGTTGGAGTTATCAGAATGCAATGGAGACACTGGGAGTTTGGAATGGTGTCTTAGTCTTCATCTGTCATGATTTTGATAAAAGAAACCATGTGTTTTCTTATGTAATATGTCATTTGCGCTTCTTAATTAAATAGAATTTTTATTGAATTAGAGTTGTCTACATTGCAAATATATAAATTTAAGGAAATCTGTGCTAAATCCACTATCATCTAAGAATTATTCTCAGTGCTCTGTGCTATTGAGGAGTAGGAGCATTGATTGACCAAAATCATTGGTATCGGAGGGAGGGAGTCAGAACCAGTTCTGGCGCAGGTGGGACCTGTTGAAATTGCACCTTTAACAGGACTGGGGTTAATATCCATAGAATCCCTACAGGGTGGAAACAGGCCGTTCGGTCCAACAAGTCCATACCGACTCTCCAAAGAACATCCCACCCAGACCCATGCCCCTACCCTATCCCGTAACCTTGCATTTCTCATGGCTAATGCACCTAAACGAAACATTCCTGAACACAATGGGTAATTTAGCATGTCCAAACTAATTTGCACATCTTAGTACTGTGGGAGGGAGCCGGAGCACCCAGCGGAAACCCACGCAAACACTGGGAGAACGTTGAGGTTCCACACAGACAGTGGCCCGAGGATGGAATCGACACTGGGTACCCGGGGCTGTGAGGCAGCAGTGCTAACTACTGAGCCACGGTGCCAGCCCTTAGAGATTTGCCCGTGGTGTTAGGGAGCGTTTAAACAAGCTTGTCAGGGGAACAGTAAGTAGGAAAATTGGAAGTAAAATCAGAAGGCAAGCATGAAGTAAGCTGAGAATGCTAAACAATGTCATAAAGACAATGTTGAGGGGCTCTCTAACTGACTGCAACATTCGCAACAAGATCACTGATTTGAAGGCCAGGTGACGGTGAGTGGATATAATCAAATTCCCGCTGTGGAATCATGGCTGCAGGTCGATCAAGACAGGGTACTGAATATTCACCAATATTCAGAATTTGGGCAGGACCAGGCACAAAGGAAAAGGAGGTGGGGTGCTGCTAATGATAGGGATGGGATCGATGAGAACATCAATAAAAGATGATCTCTGACTGGAAGAACTATATGAGGAATCTCAAATAAAAGCAAAATACTGCTGATGCTGGAAATCTGAAATGCACAGAATGCTGGAGAAATTCTCCAGGTCTGGCAGTATCTGTGGCAATGAAAAATGTTAACAATCCTTACAAGATGAAGGCCAATAGTTAGCCTTTTTTATATTTTTCAACTGTGAAAAAGTTCTTAATGATTTTTACACATGAGCATTCAACTCTTTATTCTTGCATAACTACTGATACTCAACGTTAGGAAACTAGTCCGATTAGTTTTCGTCCAGTTCTGATTGATATTTTCAGATAGATTGTCAGTGTAATTCTTAGTACGTTTGGGATTTGTTAGCAATGTCCGGTTGTGGGGCTGCATCTAATTTTGGGCATTACTTTCAGTTTTGCAAGCATGGGCTGTATGGTTTGTACTCTCCTTATTACAAAGAGCTGAAGGGATGTGCATGATCTAATAGTTATTGAGCCAACATCTGGCATCACCATAACATTCATGGTGTGGTTCACTTGTGCACAAAGCCACATATATTCGCGTGAACACAGAACCCTGAGCTTTGCAAATAAAAAACGTCATGGATTGTACTTTTTCAAATAAACAAGACCTTGGGGAAATAAAAACAAAGTGCTGGAGTGCTGTTTTTACTTTCAGATTTCTAGCATTTGTTGCATTATTGTTCTTTTATTAAAGTTTAGGAGACAGCCTTTCCCTGGTGCATTTCCCGTGGCAATACCTTGACTATTCGGAATGGACTTGCTTGATTTGAATTTGAACAGACACTTGACAAGTTGGTGCGTTTCCATTGCAACTCCTTTTCCAATCAGAATCGACTTGCCAACTACTTCTCATGCAACATAACTGGTTATTCTTTTTGAGATTTAGTAGACTTGTGACTCTGTCCTGATAAGTCCAGAAACCAGCTTCATCAGCTTTATTTTAAGAATATGCAAGAAACAGTATGAAATGAAAGGCTGGATTAAACTAAACTATGCAGGGTTTGGGTGTGCAAGTCTGTAAAAGCATCTGTTTCCAAATTGTAAGTTGAATATAAATTTGATAAGCAGGTTAGTAATGGTGTATAAGAAACATTCTGTTATCGCTCTAATAAATAGAGCTGTCAATCAATGTGGAATTAGATCATTTCACGATGATCCTGAGTAGTGTCTGAAGTAGAAAAGAAAAATCAGTTATTGCACTTTCGAAAATCTTGAATTACACAATTTCCTGCAACTGTACACTTTTTCTTCACTATCAGGACGAAGACTACACGCAATTTTATGCCACAAACCAGGATATGCCAGGAGACCTGCAAACTCAGGATAATGAAGTCTATGAGGAAGCAACAGCTGCAAATACACAGGAGCAAGTTGTTGAAGTTGCACAAGAACCTGAAGAGGTAAAAGCATCAAAAATGTAAATAGCATTTATGTAGCATTTCTAACTTCAAGTGTCCAAGGCACTTCACAGGAAGGTTATCAAACAATAATTTTCAACATGCTACATATCAGAATATCAGAAAAGATGACTCATGCAAGGAGGAGTTGAAAGAAGGAAGTCCACAGTTGAAGATCCAGATATGCATTCACCTGAAGGCATGGCCATTAGTGGTGATCTGATTAAGGTCAGGAATGTATAAGAAGGCAGGCATGGAGGAAACAGATCTCAGAGGGTTATATGACCTGAATAAGGTTACAGTGATAAGACAGAGCGAGAATGCAAAGTGATTTGAAATGACGGTGAGAATTGAGATGTAGTTGTTGTCAATGAAGGCTGTCAATATGGGTGATGAATGAATGGAACTTTTGGTTGAGTTCAAAAACAGAAATTGCTGGAAAGCTCAGTAGGTCTGGCAGCATCTGTGGAGAGAAATTAGAGTTCATGTTTCGAGTCAAGTGACCCTTCCTCAGAACTGATGTAACCTTGATTTAAAAAGCTTGGAATCCAGTTTGCCGTTTTGATCACTTTCTTAACCTACCCTATCACCTTCAAACTGTCAAAGCAAACACTCAGACCTCTCTAGTCCTGCATCCCATTTTGAATTGTGTCCTGACTTTTACATTGCTTCTCCTTGTTACATCCTACCACAGCGTTTCAGCTTCTACATGTCTTCCCATACCCATCAGCCTTCTGTGACATCTTGAATTCAATTGCTATCCTCTTTACAGTTCACGGTACTCCTATGTTTTATGTCATCTGCAAATTTAATTCAACTTTCACAAACCCAATAATTGTATGATTTATTGTGAGAGAGACATTTGCCTGATTATGACAACATGTTTGTAACAAATCTAAACTTAATTAGGTCAAAATTCCCTGTAGTGTAAAGCTTTGAGAACAGTACATTCAGAACCATTTGTTCTCAAAGCTGATTTGGCAGGCTTTGAGTAAAGATGACTGGAGAATGGGAAGGAGTTACACAGTTGTGGGGCCTAATACTTAGTGCAATGCTGGGAGCAGCTGCAGCAAATTGTATTTTTTCTCTGGTGAGTAGAAATGGCACACAAACAACCAAGCAGCTTGTTAGTAAATAGATGGTACTTAATTGAATTTGAGTCTTTGCACCATTATTCTGCTGATTTGGGTTGAGGGGATAGGTAAGATTTAAAACTGTTCTTTATTACAGCATCCTTGGGCAATTGCCACATTTTTAAAAAATCTGTGTTAGTACAATAGTTGTGCCAGTACAACTGCTTGTGTGGAGCTCTGGTTTCAGCTATGTGCTGAAATAAGATTTTAAAATATATAGAGAGACTTGTCCAAAATTATTAATCTGTCAGCCATGTCATGACTCATCTTGCAGACTTACATTTGCACTTAATATTCCTGGTGTATGCTGTATAACCTACACATTCAGTGAGATACTGTGATGCATTGAGTCCAGACTGCAGTTGACAGTTGGTAAAGTTAAGTATTTCATGTTCTTGATAATGCTTAATTTTGTGCTACTTGCCATATTATGGGTGGAACAAGGAAACTGAGGACTTTTACGCTAATTGGTATCTTTAATGATTGGTTTATTCACTCATACAATCATGTACTGCATTTATTAGTTCAAATTTGCTTACTTGATGAGTCTTGGTTAATATAATAATGCCAACGTGAAGCTGAAAGTTTGGGCATTAACAAACACATTTCTGCCTTATTAAATTCTCAGCCAGTTCGCGTGTGGAATTGATCCCAAATTGGATCAGCGATTCATTGACTTTACTTTGGTAAATCCCCAAGCCACGAAATAAATATTTGCTAATGCCCTGTTTACTCTCTCCTTTATCAAATTAACCAGTATTAAACTATTACAACTTCTGTAGCACAAATGCTTTGGATATCTGTTCTGTTGCTATCAGCTTAATTATTTTAAGTACTGTATTAACCTATGGACATATCAGTGTCTTGAACTGATGTTTCCCACGAGATTTGTGTCTTCTCATGGATGTCCATTCCAAAGTCTGACTAATTTATGTACCACTGTGAGCTACGGTGCAGTTGATTTGAATGATTTATCTATCTCACTCAACAAATTTCTATGCAAAACTATAACCTGTGAAGAATTTAAAGTCAAATTTAAAATTAGCAGTTAATATATTAAAGTATCATTATTGGAATAGTGGAAGCACTCAACTGAGTCGCAAGGTGTTAGGTCCACGACTTGTTCCAGAAACTGGATTAACATTGACCTGTCAGTGCAAAATAGGACAATGAATATTGCAGTTTGTTTAGTCATTGAAGAAATGTGACACTTTTGTATGTACAGGTGGTGAAACAAATACAGGAAGTAGAAGAAAGAAAGGAAGTCTCTGATGATGAAGATGAAGATGACGAAGAGTCTGGAAGAATGCGTTTCAAAACTGAACGGAAAGAAGGAACTGTTATTAGGTTAACGGATGCAGCTAGAAAGAGGAGAAACATTCCAGACACATTGGGTAAGCGACGTTTTTCTTACTAATCCTGTCAGTGAGGCAAAAATGATGTTACTATTGATTTGACCCTTTCTCCCTATTCCTTTCCAATAGTAAGTCAACTTCTGTTTGTCGACAGTTTCATGGGAAGACACAGCATTCATGTATCTTCCTTTGTTATATAACATTATTTCGTCTGATTATCAGAATGATCAAAAACAGAAATTCCTGGAAAAACTCAGCAGTTCTAGCAACATCTGTGGAGAGAGAGTAGTGTTAATATTTCAAGTTCAGTGACCCTCCTCCATTCTGAATAAGGATCACTGGATCCAAAATGTTAACTCTGTTCCACTTTCTAACAATTAGGAATACATATATGTTGGAAATACTCTGTAGGTCAGGCAGCATCTGTGGAAAGGTCTTTAATCAGAATTGAGTATAGGTAGAAATGTAATCAGTTACACCAGATCATTGTCCTGAAGCACGCATGTGCGCTCTTTCTTACGCTTGATTGCGCACACTCCCTCTTCTCAGATTCTTTATAACCTGAATATTTACCAGCTTTTTCTATTTTTTACGTTTCCAATATCTTAGTTATGTATAAACGGATTACTGTGAGAATCCAGCAAGCAAATTAGCCATTGTAGAAAATACGTCCACACCTGCTTTACTAGCCCAGACTAGTTGATGCAACAAGCACTTAAATGATTGTTCCAAGGTGCTGAGCCACAGAAGTAGAATTTAAGCAAGCCAGTCAAATATTTAATTATATATGCCCACTACAATGGACCTTAAAGGAGGAAAGCATTTGATAGATGACGATTGTGTGTCTGAAGACACAACTACAGTTGATGTCAGTAAAAGGAAGGTGGGAAGTTACACGATGCAATGGGGAATATAGAGTTTTGGGTTAATTCTAAGGTTGGAGGAGGTTGCAGAAATACAACAAGGCCGTTAAAGTAATTTAGAACGTACTTGCAATTTGAGGAATTGAGATTCTGGAATTATTTGCTTATCCAATACTGAAAGGTTAAGAATGACTGCCTGACATATAAGATGACTGTCTGAGTTTCCTGAATCACACTTCTTGGAACCCTGCCCTGAGACACTTGAATATGGTTTATATGGGAATTTACCATTCTTCTGGTACAATTTTGAAAGAAAGGGCTTATTTGGTTAGTTTTCCAGAGATTGTTGAGATTATGGCAAAACAACCAGGAGAATTTCTATGGAAATTGTAGGTATCTGAATCTTTTCTCACAATGTCTGCAAAGGTATTGGTAAAGGAGGCCATTAAAATTATTCCTGCTGCACTATGTTGTATCTTTGCTGACAATAGTCCTTGGTGCCAAAAAAAATTCTCTCGTTGTGATTTCTGGACCCTAAGAAATGCAAAATCCTCTATTGCAAATATCTTTTTTCTGTCTCTACATTTCTATGATTATCAACATTTCTTGATATTTGTATGATTGGGGAATTCCAGAATCTAGAGCCTAGTCAGCTGTAAGTAAGGAGCCAGCCAGTATAAGTAGGGAAGATGGAGTCTGGGATTGAAAGGGTTGGGAGATATTGGAGGTTTGTAATGCTTCAGGAGACCTGAGAAAGGGATCGTTGAGCTCTGAAAGGTGGCTTGTTTATTGTCTCCGGTGGAGGTCTGATTCAAGACAGAATTGGAGGACAAAGTTTAGGCTGACATTTATTTAGGACTATGTTGAGCAATTTGAGGTCTGTAAATGAAATCACAAGTAGGGTGGGGGACATTTATCTAGTTCACCCCTCTCTCGGTGACTTGAGCATTTGGCTTAATTGTCCTACCTAAAGACTATTTTCAGTATTAATTAATTTGTGGGAGGCGATATGCTTCTTGACTTCTGTCCTGTGGCCTCTTAATTTGAAGTCTGCGTACTGCTGTCCTGTATTTTTGGTTTGATTGGTCTTTTTTAAAATTTCCTCGTTCTTGGCAAGTAGTTTTATTTAACTTAGTAAAACTGAATTGCAGTTCACTGACTTCATATGACAATGATCATGGCTTATTTGCTTTTTATCTCAGAAAATACACCTTCATCCAAAGCGGATACTCATCACATTCTTTCTTCTGCTAATTTTCTCATTTCCTCCTGTACTTTCCACTCTTTCTTAAAAGCATTAACTCCTTCATAGAGAACAGTTCTTTGAGTACCAAATGTCCTAATCCAAACAACTTTCGTTCATGTATAAACTTTATCACTGATTTCAGTGGTATTTGTGTACAGGATGAGAGATCAAAACTGGCGTCATCCTATGTAATGTATAATGTCACATTTTTCTTTGGATAAATTTACTGATTTGACTGTAACAAAACCTGCAACTTAATTATAACTGGGAATGTTGGAAAGAGTGAGAGCATATCCATGACCAAAAAGCTCAAAATTATTGAATTGTTGACTCAGAGTGTTTTTTTTAAGAGAGAATGTTGAATATGTTTAATTTTGTGGAGTGGGATCCGTGATGTAATACAATGGGGCCTGAACGTAAGTTTAAAGAAACTCAATTATTCATTTTTGATGCGCTAAATTTGAAAGTTAGATGTGTCCTATTTCCTTGAAAATCTTGGGAGTTTATTGACTTAGTCGTGCTAATGTGAAGGAATAGACAAATGGATAAATCAGGTATAGATTCATGATTAGTACAATTATATGGGGAACTGTTTTGAATTCCATGCTTCTTATGAGATTATTTGTGCCATTGTAGTTTTATGTCACTGAAGCAGGGCACTGTCAGTGGCTGCAAATGTCCTCCCACTCATTGCACTGTTATATTGTGAATGGCAACTAGAAAATTGGTTTTATTTCTCCTCCTCATATCAAGAATTTAAAATGGGAAAAAAAATGTCTTTTCTGTCAGGGAGAGCAGAAAAAAAAATGTTCTCCTGTTCTTCTTGAACGAAAAAAATCTGTAGCCCTAGCTAATGAGTGATACTCTGCTTTATTTGGATTTCACAAACTGGAATATTATTTATTTCAAGTATTTGCTGTATCAAAGGATTTTAAACCATTTTTACAGTTATATTTCACAAACAGCAATGATAAAAATAATTGTATTTTCTTTTAAATTAACATGTTTGCTTTAAAATGACAGCAACTTTGAAAATTTGAGGCTTTTCCTAAAGGGTAGTGAATGAACAGGTTATAAAGCAAAAGCAATCGATAAACACTCAAAGAGTACAGTGTTGCAGCCATTCTCAACTAGAATCTTGAAGTAGTTGAAAAAGCATTTAAAGGACAATTGACATTGCAGTTCACGTTGCAAATGTAATCTCCACTTTGTCAGATTTTGCTGACCTAACGTGACAGCTTATTTCGATTGGATGAAAGCATTCTTGCCAACTGATTAGAGTTGTCATGTGAAACCATTTTATTATTGGCTATACTGAAATTAATCTCGACATCTAAGAACGCATGAATAACGTCTATAATTGCTGAATCACTGTATCGCCAAAATATGAGAAATGTTCTGTGCACATTTGAAATAAAGCCCTTTTTGAATGTTATTGTAGACAGAGCTGAGTGATTATTGATATGAAAAATACCTCATCTCAAGTCGGTCCTTTACCTGCTTTGTTTGAATAGATTTTTGCATATGGAAACATGACTCAAATCTGAAATATTCTATTTTGTTAAAGGTCTGGTTTTACTTCCATTGCAGTTGTATGAGAGTTCAGAATGTGATCATTTGAAAAAATATGAAAAACTAACTAGATGTTGACCTTTACTGAGAAAAAGCAGTTTTGATTCATGATTTTTAGTGTTGTAGTGAGGGAATGTTAAACTACTCAGCTGGGTTTAAAAATTCTGTAACATCACTAGAAAAGAACCATATGTTTCCCTGATGTCCTAGCCATTGATTATCCTTCAATCAGTATCAAGGAAGCAGATTGTCTGGTTATTCATCTCATTGCTGTATGGTGCAAATTTGCCAAGTCAGCTGGCTTGTTTTCTACATTGCAGCAATGTTTTGACATGTACCATGGTTGTGAAATACAAGCAAATTATTGTTTCTACGTCACTAATGTTAAATATTCTTTACTTGCTAAGTATCATGTCTGTTTCCCTTACCCACTGATCTTGTAGAGTGTGAAGCACAAAACATGCTGAACTTTAATATGGGGTTGCGCATTTCTGCAAATGCATTTGAAGCAAACATGAAGCATGACTATTTCCTTGAAATCCCTCATCTCAGGGAAGTTTCTGTCACTGTTTCCAGGTGGGTTTTTCCAACAATCAGCAACGGTTTCATGGTCATCATTGGACTCTTAATCCCATTTTTAGAAAAAAAAATTATTCTGATTCCATGGCAAGATTTGAACTTGGGTCCCCAAACCACCACCTGGGTCTATGGATTAACAGTCCAGTAATAATACCACGAGGCCGTTGCCTCTCCTTATAAGGCTAAAGTTACCATAGTCATGCTCTCTCATTAGAAAGAGATGAACGGTGGCGGTTTAACCTAAGGGTCACTATGCCTCAGGCAAGGGGACAGGTTGAGAAGGAGGCACATTGGCTGATTCAGGAACTGACCCCATGCTGTTGGTTTCATTACATTGCAAACTAGCTGTCCAGCCAACTGAGGTAACTAATCTCCCTCAGGGACGTTTCTGCGGTGTGCTGGCCAATACTTATGCAACAGGTAGCAGCACTTAGGTAGACTAAATATCTGCTAATTTATCTCGGTGTTTATGGAATAGTGCTATGGACAAATTGGTTGCTGTATTTGCTTGCGTTACAACAGTGATTGTCCTGCCGAAGTACTTAGTTGGCTGTTCATTTACAGCCTTTGTGCTTGCTAGACTATTTCAGAGGACAGTTAAGTCAATGCACATGGTGTCTTGTCATTTTTGCACACAATCTAAATCTTCTGTTGAATTTGAGGATCTTTACTTGATCCTGCGTTGAAAAAAACACCCTTTTAATAGGTGTTTATTATATTCAGTCTAATTTGTGTGAACATACGATCATAAAAAAATTAGAGAAAAATATATTCTGTTCATCAGGTTCACTTGGGTGTTTTTCTCCAAAATCCACCTCATTGAATCCGACTTTCTTTCTTATTTCTGTCTTTAAACCAATGGTGTATTTCTGAACCTAGTTTCGTCTATTAAGTGTTCTCAGGACCTTTCACGTCAGTCAGTTGTTAGTGTTATCATTTTTAAGTAGAAAATCAATGTAACATTGATTTAGATGCTTTGGACTGTGATTGAATAAAATTGTTACCTTGTAATATTTGTATTATTTTAGAACTTTCTGATGAGGCTAAAGCAGCATTGCGTGAGTTTGAGGAGACTGAACGCCAACGAAAACAGGGAAAACGAGGTCGGCGAGGAGGGCCTTCAGCTAATGTTCCCTTTTGTGATCAAAGGAGAGAGGGTGGTAGGAGGAGAGACCAACGACTGCCCTTGGTGCAAGTACCTCCATCATTGCAGGTAACTATTTCTACTTGTACTTTATCCTCAATAAAAACTCTTTTTATTAATTTAGTTGATGAGTAAGTGAAGTTTGACAGTGTTGAGGAATAGACAGTGATTACATCCAGCTAGCCTGTTCACATGCAGGCAGGTAATTTGTCAGTCTTCATTACCTGTTCAGCCATGATTTCTGTATCCATGGAAACTGTAAGAACTTGGTGTATTTTTTATAAATTACCTGTGCTGCTTATTTGTTATATTTGTTAGTTTTGAAATGTAGTAATCAGAGTGCAGTCAAAAAAAATAAACCAGCAGAGAAAGAAAATCTGCACCTGGGCATTTCCTGCAGTTGTGCAAGTGAAAAACTACTTTAAATCGCAACATCTTATTGACACACAGCTTCTGCTTCTAAGGTGTTGCAACAGTCCAGCGAAAAGAATAGAAAGACTTAGCTATTTCTTGAATTTACTTTTGAGCGGAGAATTTTGCCAGTGATCAAAAATAAGCAAGTGCTGTAACCTTGTATTCTTTCGTTGTGCCCTTTTCTGAAGTTCAACTCTGCATGTATTTGTTCAACATCATTGTTAAGCACACTTGAACGTTGTACCTCTGCCTCATTGCAAAGGATATGTGATTATTGAATTTCATTTGCGATTTGAAAGGCATGCAGTGCAGAGCCACCAGAATCTTCCAAGGGCTTCAAGGATTAGATTATAAAGGGAAATTGCATTAACAAAATTTGCATTCCTTGGAATTTGGTGAGTTAAGGGCATTTTGAGAAGAAGCTCATGGGGTCAAGAGAGTGAAATTTTTTTTGTGATAAGTAATCTAAGAGGGACATTGGGAAATGCTTCAAAAGAAGGGATGGTAGCATTGTGGAACTTTGTCACAATAAGCTTTAGGTGTGAGCTCAAATGATTTTTAACAAGCTAAAATAGGTGGATTTTTGCTCAACAAGAATAGTGATATGAGATTGTTGACTTAGGCGCCGAGTGGCTTGTTCTCATTGAGGCGTTTCGTCACTGTGCTCGGTGACATCATCAGTGGAGCCTCCGATGAAGCGATATTATTCTACTCCACTTGGAATTTATACTGTCTGATCCATTGTGGTGAGTAGTGTCCTTTCTGGTTTTGATCTGTATGGGTTTGCATAAAGAGTCCAATTCCAAATGTTTGTTGATTGCATCACGGGTGGAGAACCATGACTGTAGGAATTCCTGTGCGTGTCTATGTTTGGCTTGGGCTACTATGGTTACCTTGTCCCAGTTAAACTGATGGCCATCATTGTCTGAGTGTACCGATATTAAGGCGAATTCGTCGTGCCGTTTTGCTGCTAGTTGATGTTCATGTAGTCTGATGGCTAGTTTCCTTCCTGTCTGTCCGACGTAATGTTTGGCAGTCGTTGCATGGTATTTTGTAAACCACCTTGGCTCTGCATGTTGTGAGAATGAGTCTTTAATCCTTGTCAGTGTTTGTGTAGAGTGGCTGTGGGCTTCTGAGCCGCTGTGAATCATAGTGGTCTTAGGAGTCTTGATGTAGGGCAGTGTGGCCAGTGTGTTAGGGCATACTGTGTCCTCCTGTTGTCTATTTAGTAGGTATCTACGGATGAAATTGTGGGGATATCCGTTGACAGTGAGGATTTTGTACAGGTGCTCTTCCTCTTTCCTGCTTAGTTCCAGGGTGTCACAGTGTGTCTTGGCCCATTTAAATAGTGTCCTAATGCAGCTTTAAAAAAGCCATAGCAAAGCTGCATTAGGACGCTATTTAAACGGGCCAAGACACACTTACAAGGATTAAAGAACTTTCCTTAATATCAGTACACTCAAACAATGAAGGCCATCAGTTTAACTGGGACAAGGTAACCATAGTAGCCCAAGCCAAACACAGACACAGAATTCCTGGAGGCATGGTTCTCTACCCATAACGCAATCAACAAACATACAGAATTGGACACCATAAACAAACCCATACAGATCAAAACTGGAAAGGACACTCCTCACCATAACGGACCAGACAGTATAAATTCCAAAAAACAAAACAGAAATTGCAGAAAAAGTTCAGCAGGTCTGGCAGCATATGTGAAGGAAAAAACAGAGTTAACGTTTCAGGTCCGGTAACCCTTCCTCAGAACCTCTGTTTTGTTTCCTGATTTACAGCATCTGCAGTTCTTTCGTTTTTTTTATTTAGTATAAATTCCAAGCTGAGTAGAATAACATCGCTTCATCAGAGGTTCCAGTGATGATGTCACCTAGCATGGTGACGCAACGTCTCGATGAGAACAAGCCAGTTTGGCAAGCAAGTCAACAACTTCACCCACAACGCGAGCTATCGATCTTTGCAAAACCTTAAATAATTGAGATATAGAAAAAGGTTTGAGGGCCAAGATGGATGGATGGAGCTGAGATGCAGATCAGTCATGATCTCATTGAACAAGCTCAAGGGGATGACCAAACTATTATATTTAAAGTTGTAAATATTCATGTATTGAAATTTCATATTAGTTTCAAGTAAATATGATTCATTGTTTTCGAATTTCCCCTGTTGCAAAGAGAGCAGCATAGTGAGCATGGGAAGATGATCAGAAGACAGATTGTTTTAAATGTACCAAATTTACAGAAAAGGTAAATGGTATACAGGTTAGCAAGGTCCTGGGTTTTGACTGATTGGTCAGCTTTGCAGTTTTGATTGCTGTCTAACAGCGATTACATAAATGTGTATGTGTGAAATGTTGATGAGCATCCCTGATGTTCACTTCTGTTACATACCTGGAGAGTACTGTTCATGAATAATGAGGCAACATTATATTCAGGTATCAAGAGCAAAGCATTATGTTATTATGTACTGCATTGAACGTTTTGTATCGTGCAGGATACCACAAACAGCAATCGAGTGAATGATCAGTTTTTGATAGTATGAAATAAGCATAAAGAATGTTGTTCTCTTTATATAGTGTTGCAGGCTCAACTGAATCACTGAAACAAGCAAATGAGTTTTGCTTTAACATCTCAATCATTGAGTGACAGCTGTGACAATGTAGTTCCAGCTCCATACTGCACTGTTTTTGAAATAGTTTATTTATTGAAGACCTGGAGTAATATATATCCTTGCAATCTTCCATTCGGAAGGAAGAATGCTGTCAATTGAACCAAGCTAAGACTTGTTTGCATTGCAATCGACAGCATTTAAATTAGCAATTACATTAAATTATACCAATTGCAGGTATTGGTATAATACCAATATACCAATATTGTGTTTTAAAATGTCTCATTGCTTATGAGTGGTATGGTTAATATACTTGGATATCAAGTCTAAGAGATGTAAGCTAGATATTAAGAACATAAGAACTAGGAGCAGGAGTAGGCCGTCCGGCCCTTCGAGCCTGCTCCGCCATTCAATAAGATCATGGCTGATCTTTTCGTGGACTCAGATCCACTTACCCGCGTTCTCACCATATCCCTTAATTCCTTTATTGTTCAAAAAAATATCTACCTTATCTTTAAAAATGTTTACTGAAGTAGCGTCAACTACTTCACTGGGCAAGGAATTCCATAGATTAACAACCCTCTTGGTGAAGAAGTTCCTTCTCAATTCAGTCCTAAATCTGCTCCCAATAATCTTGAGGCTATGCCGCCTTGACCTAGCTTCACCTGCCAGTGGAAACATCCTCTCTACTTCTATCTTATCTATTCCCTTCATAATTTTATATGTTTATGTAAGATCCCTCCTCAATCTTCTGAATTCCAATGAATATAATCCCAATCTACTCAGTCTCTCCTCGTAAGCCAACCCCCTCAACTCCGAAATCAACCTAGTGAACCTCCTTTGCACCCCCTCCAGTACCAGTACATCCTTTCTCAAGTAAGGAGACCAAAACTGCACACAGTACTCCAGGTGTGGCCTCACCAGCACCTTGTACAGCTGCAACATAACCTCTCTGCTTTTAATCTCAATCCCTTTAGCAATGAAGGACAAAATTCTATTTGCCTTCCTAATTACTTGTTGTACCTGCATAGGTACATGTGATTCATGCACAAGGACACCCAGGTCCCTCTGCATAGCAGCATGCTGCAACTTTTTACCATTCAAGTAATAATCCTTTCTCCTATTACTCCTACCAAAATGTATGATTTCACATTTATTTACGTTTTATTCCATCTGCCAGACCTTTGCCCACTCTGCAAAGTTTCACAGTCCTCTGCACACTTTGCTCTGCCACTCATCTTAGTGTCATCTGCAAACTTTGACACCCTACACGTGGTCCCCAACTTCAAATCATCTATATAAATTGTAAATAATTGCGGTCCGAACACCGATCCCTGAGGCACGCCACTAGTCACTGACTGCCAACTAGAATAGCACTCATTTATCCCCACTCTTTGCTTCCTGTTAGTCAACCAATCTTCTATCCATGCTAATACTTTACCCTTAACGCCATGCATCCTTATCTTATGCAGTAGCCTCTTGTGCGGCACCTTGTCGAAAGCCTTTTGGAAATCTAGGTACACCACATCCACTGGGTCCCCATTGTCTACCTTGCTCGTAATGTCTTCATAGAATTCCAAAAGATTTGTCAAGCATGACCTGCCCTTCATGAACCCATGCTGCGTCTGCCCAACGGGACAATTTCTATCAAGATGCCTTGCTATTTCTTCCTTGATAATAGACTCAAGCATCTTCCCCACTACAGAGGTTAAGCTAACCGGTCTATAATTCCCCATCTTTTGTCTACTTCCCTTTTTAAACAGTGGCATCACATTTGCTGTTTTCCAATCTGCTGGGACTGCCCCAGAGTCCAGCGAATTTTGGAAAATTACCACCAGTGCACCTGCTATTTCTCCCGCCATCTCTTTTAGTACCCTGGGATGCATTCCATCAGGGCCAGGAGACTTTTCAGTCCTTAGGTCCATTAGCTTACCCAACACTACCTCTTCCGTAATAACGATTGTTTCCAGGTCCTCACCTACCTTCGTCTCTTTGTCTATTACTGGCGTGTTATTAGTGTCCTCCACTGTGAAGACTGATACAAAATACCTGCTCAATGCCTCGGCCATTTCATCATATCCCATAACTAAATTCCCCTTCTCATCCTGTAAAGGGCCAACGTTTACTTTAGCCACTCTTTTTCGTTTTATATATTTATAGAAACTATTATTACGGGGATAAGTCTAGTCTGTATTCACAGATCTTGAGTTGTAATGGGGGTCATCAGAAGTTCGTGCTCTCTTAATTTTTCCCATTTCAATTGCAGTAAATGCCTTAGCAGAATTATTATTTTTATTTTCTCAGAGTCCTCGTACTACAATGAATTCTTCAGAGCATCAATCTGGTAGAGGTACTGTACAACAGCGTCGGCAGCCACCGCCTCTTCTGGTACCCCAACGACATCCTTCCACACCTCAGATGTCTAGCTGCCCTCCACAGCAACCAGAACAGCAGGAACAGCAGAACTCAGAAACTGCTTCTGTTGATTTGAATTCAACGGTAATTTCAACACAACAACCAAAGAACATTCATATAAACCCTCATTTCCGAGGTCCAGTCGTTACACCTGTGCAAGGTTAGAACTGCAAAATTTTGCCTAAATTCAGTGTATGTTTTCTCCTCTTCTGTCCTCAAGACAGTGACTTGTTCAGTGGTGCACTTCTGAATAAAAGGATTCTCAGCAATACTTTGCCAAAGTAACCATTCTTGCTTAAATTTACATGTGAAATGTTTTTGGGGCTTTTTGTTGTAATGTGGGTGGCATTTGAGCCTGCTTGTCTTCAGCTGATGTATGTGAATCTTTCTCGTGCATGTTACTTGATATCAGACACACAACATTTAGGTGTAGTTTCTTTTCAACAAACTAGAACACATGGCCAGTTTGTCGTGATACTGATTGTTGTTAAATCTGAGATTCCCCAACCTATCAAAGATCAGAGATTGGATTTAGCAGACTAGCTGACAAATATACAAAGTGAGATAATGGGGAGTCTATGTACCATTTTAAAGGCTGTTTTATTAAATTTTTTGGGGGAAGATTTAGGAGTAAGAACTTCTGGTTAAAAAAGAAGTTAATTTGAAAATGATTTTTTTTTTATCCTGCCCCTGTTCATAACAATGAGCCTTTCCAACTTAATTGCACCTCAAATCTGGAAAGATTATTGTGAAAATGTTTGATAGTGAATTGAAGTAAAATTAAAACCTTCCTGCCTTTTCTGTGCTCTTTATATATAGTCTACATTAACCTGAATTTTTAAATTTTGAGTAAATAGATGTTTGAGAGGTTCGTTTCCAACATCAAAAATATTCACTGCTACTTGAAATTTCAAATTTATTTCAGCTGAACTGATTCATTCTAAAAGTGGTGCAGTCAAATAGCTTTGTCACCTGTGAACCCTGAGAAATTGACTAATTTCAGTATAATTGTATACTTATTGTTCTAATCCATTCTGGTGCATTACTTTTTCCTGCTAATTCTTAACAGGCAGGTGTTAGCTGAAGTAATTTGTGGCTGTTTTGGAACGAATTCATAACTTAAGTAAATCCTTTTGACTAAATGCAATTAATTTCTGACAAGTATTCTGAAGTTTTTATCATAAAAAGCTGAAATCCTTTATGCGTAACTTAAATTTTGATCCAGTTTCAATTGCATCCTTTGCATCAGTGATCTGCTGAACTGATGTGTGAGTTGATTCCCAATTACGCTACTTCAATTATTCAGCTTTTGTCTTCAGCTAAACAGATGATGGCAAAGTGAGTTGCATCATCATTTTGCAGCACTTTTTAAAAGATATCTATTGAGAAATTTTTATTTTCAACATTAGGGTTATAATTGTACACCTATTATGACTCCAATGAATATTGGTGCAGCAGTTTGTATTAATCCGTTCAACTTGATTTCTTGTAAGGCCAGTTGTATGCCTTGAAGCCAGTGCAAAATGGTCTCTGGTTTTGTAGGCATGAAATCGCACTATGGGAATAGCCACACCACACAGATTGCAATGGTTCGGGAAGCTAGCTCACCACCTTCTTGAGACCAGTTAGAGCTGGGCAATTGTCAGCAATACCACAAAATGAATAAATAAAAAAAATGTAGAATAAATAGTCTCGTTTGAGAAAAGTTGTCTTGCAGTGCTTTGTTTTTGATAACATACGCCTGTTTTATGGAAGACAGTCAATTTATATATTGAATGCTATGAAATCATCATTCAAAGAAGTTTATTTCAGTCCCACTTGTATGTGATTTTAAAAATCTAAGCACCATTTTGTTTCTATGGTTTTCTGTTGAACTTTAAAATTTCGAAGGTGAAATACTGGAAACGGTTCTTGAGGAATTAATTTTGGATGGATGACTCTAAAGTGCTTCCAGCTCTCCCCTGTTAGATTGTTGAGCTCCCATACACTTGCTTAGGACCTGCTCCGTATTTGTGTGCCTTCAGTGTTATTCTGTAAGCTTCATTGAATGTTGGTCAGAAATGGATGTTAGTGCATTGTATCTATCTAAATTCAAAAACTGTTGTTTCCTTCTTGATGCTTTAACTTACATCTGTTTTGTGATTCACATCGGCTCTTTGCTGTGTCTGTGATGTCCACCTTTTGGTTAATTTACATATCACCCTTCTATTTGTTTCAATATTTTCAGATTGTTGCATTATATGTTGTAAAATCGCTGTTTGCTGATTTTATGCTTACAAAATGAAGTGCTTTCCTGATAGTGTGGAGATAAGCATCTGATTAGAAGATGGATAATAGGGTGGGACACATTGGGCAGGATTTATTGGATACTGAAAATAACATACAAAATACGAAGTAAGATGAATTGCTTCTCAAGAATGAAAACACCTTGGCAGCACTGGAACTTCTATCTCCTTTTTTGAAACTGGAATTTTTTTTCTTAGCTATGTTGATTTGGATTATAGATCAGTTATGTAATATAGGCAGTCACAGATTTGTTGCAATTTTCTGATGGTTTAATGAGTTTAAGAATCAATAATTCAGATATGATGCTCTAGTTAATTAGATAAAGAAAATATACAACCATGACCATTGGGGATGGTTCATTGATAACTGAGGACAAATAGGCTGTTGGCGTGGAATGTCTTGATCTCGATTAAAGTGGTGGGGAGAGCATTTTCCTTTGTAGCCAACTTGTTAGGGACCTCTTCCCTTGGTCTTCCTGATTTCCCTCTGGTTTGTCTTGCATCTGTATGATGAAGACTGCTGCCTACAAGGAGAAGCTCCCCTCTGTCCTGGGTCTGTTTTGTTCTTGATCCCTGCGCAAATCCACCAGTCTGGATTTGACCTACTCTTGGCACAGTTGCTCAGGCCTGGAATCTGGTTCCATAACTCCCAGCCATTACACGGTTTTTCCACTGCTGATGTGACTTCTGCAACTTCCTTGGCTCCGCTACAATTATTCCAGTATCAAATTGGCCAACCACCTATAGTCTTAGCCTGGTGCTTCTGGTCCTTAGTGCTCCTGTCTGAGCATGGCAGTAACTGTTATATGATAGTTCCAGGGACAGGCTATTGTCTGTGTTAATCAGTTGTCTGAACCCTTTTGGCTAGTGGCCAAGGGACAGGCATTCATGATACCAGATGATGGTTGTCCCCTTGCCTGCCTTCATCTAAGAATTAGTTCACCATTCTCTCTAAAGAACAAAACCTACTTACTTTCGAAAACAACATAATGATAATAGGGTGTTTTCAGCTCTGGATAAATTGTTGATGCTAGTTAAATGGCCATCATGACCACTGTGTTATTTGTAATTCTTCCTTTGTTTTCGTATGCAAGAATTTTGTAAAGTTGATTACTGCTGTAATAGCTTTTAAATAACTACTCTGTAAACTAGGAAAAATCAGTTTTTAAGGGACCCTAATATTTAACACCTATGCTTTCCAAATATACTAACTTTGTTAATTCATAATGTTTTTTTAAGGAAAGCTGATGAGAAAAATGTGACTTCAACCTTATTACATTAGAAACCATGCAAATTTATTAAATACTATCAAAAGTGGATGTCAAAATACTTAAGTGCCAATTGGTTTGTCTAATCAGTTTGTGATAGGATCAAATGGTGTTTAATTGGAAGTTTACATATGTCAAAAGCTGTTTGGACAATATTAACTGTTAGACGGCCAGGCCCAATTGATTTTGTTTTTTAGAAGCTTGATCGATATTCGTGATTGTGCATAAGCTGTTTTACTGCTATAAAATGCAGACAAAGAGCTGACAATTTGCTTTAAGTCCTAACAAAAAATTGTTTCAATTTTTGCCATTGAATTTGTTGCAGCAGGTATGCCTGAATTTTTTGTATGATCAGAACTCAAAGGTACTGATTGGTGATTTTTCCTTTCCTCATTGTAATTGCAGTGCCCTTGATGCCTACGCCAAACCAGCCGAGGCCTGCTGTGGGCCCCCAGAGATTCCTAGTGAGTAGCAGCTGCTTCCTTTTGTATTGCAATATTGTTTGTACGTACCCCTGTAAAGTAGTATTAACATAGTAATTAAATACCAGCGATGCTAAATAAAGTTTTGAGAATCTGTAAACATCGTTGGTTGTCTGCACAGCTGGAAATGTTTGATATGAGCTTTATTCTGTGATAGGTCTGGTGACTTCACTGTGAGCTCTACAAATGGGAAGATGACAGCATATGTAACAGGGACTTGATATGATTTCAAGAACAAAACCTATTAAATATGACAGACTTTTGCTTTATGAATGCAATGTCTTATTTTTCAAATACAAGAGGAGAGATATTCCCACTGTTCCATTTGGAAGTATTAGTCAAGGTCAAAGGCCTTGATTAAATCCCATGTATTAAATTATTTCCTGACATTTTCATTGTTAAATCTAAGTGGTTTTGCACTTGCTTTTCTTTTAGATTTGAACATATGGACTTGAGTATTTTTTAATTGCATATCTGAATTCATACTATTTTGTAACATAAATCTGGAGCACTCCTATTCACCCTAAAGGAATTGCGGTATTTAAGCATTCAGATTTGGTGAATATTCAAACAGTTGATGCTATCACTCTAAATTTGTTTCTCTTGGCTTTATCCTAAAAATTAATTCCTTCCTATGACTCCAGAATAACTGCCAGATAGCAGCAAACAAGAGCACATAAAGCTGTATAATTTTCAGGCAAGATTAAAATGGATACAAAGATTAAAAACAGATCAACTGAAAGAGAATCAGTAGTATGCTGTAGTTAATGCTCAGAACCATGAAGAGTTGCATTGTAGTCTACAGGGTACAAGACATCAGGTGTTGGTGATTGACACTTCCTGGGTAGAGCTTCTTATATCAGTTTATGCAAATTGAGTATGAGCAAGGTTGCTGAAGCAAATTATATTTCATTTAGGGTTATGGACCTTGCTAAAATGAGGCAGAGCTCTGTTCTGTGTAGTATCGGATATCCGTTTGAGCTTTTTGTGTTTTCAAGCGATGTTTTGGAAAGCTATGTAATTATAACCTTTATAGGTGGTAAAGGAATGATGGGCATTTTCTCTCATCAGATCTTGGGCAGAGGAGAGCAGATGCAGTATTAGATACCACCAGCTGTCAAATACTGTCAGGCTAGCATATACAGTGCACAATTTAAAATGCAGGTGACATAATACCAAGCAACTTTCATTTGCCACCAGGCATCTGATTAATCATGATTAGCATACATTATCATACTATCAAATTTAATCATATCCATGAGTTTCCATCTGCAGAGCTCAATGTAGCTGTACAGAATATGGCTCAGATTTGAGAGTTTGTGTCTGCATTCGCATTATATGTCAATTTCAAAATTAGAAAATAGAAAATTTATGTGTGAATAAAATTCTATCTCTCAATCCAAGGTATAAAGTATTTTATGTATAGTAGCTAGTGTTCATAGAATTTTCGTAACATTGCAACCTTTGATCAGTTGGGGAAAAAATTGCTGTCCTAAATTGGCAATCTTGCGATTAGGTGGTTAGGAATTTACATTTTCTAATGGAGTTCACTACCTTCACAGGATTGTTAAAACTTTGAGCTAAAATTTGGTTCTTCATTTACATTCATTTTACTGCGTCCACTGTAGCTCCAGAAAGAGGAATTCATGCCGAAGTGCCACAGGATCAGACTAAAAATGAATTGACAATGAAACCTTGTATCATCTATGTTATCATTTGTAATTTCAATCAGATATAGACTAAAACTATGAGGCATCTGTAAGAATAAAGAGGGGGATATTTTCCCATTAATCAAAACAGTAAGAACTAGAGGACGCAGATTTAGGATGATCAAACTCAGTTGCAGCTTTCAAAAGGAATTTGACCAATTATCTGGAGGAAAAAATTGCATGCTGCAGAGAAAGAACCGGTGAATGGGAACTAGTTGCCCTTGTCGTGAGGTGAGCCAGTGTGCACAGAATGGAATGCTTGATCCTTTCTATGCTGTAAACGTTATATAATTGCATGAAAAATTCAAAGTGAACTTTTTTTCATGCTTGACAAGCAATGCTGCTTGTAGACTTTCTCTCACATGTTGTCCTCCAAATTTTTGCTGGTATAAAATATTTCCAAGTGTAACTCTGAGTTTCAAAACTATGCTAATAATGTTGTACAATAGAAAACTAAGTTTGGTACAAAATTAAGTCTTTATTGCATTCCACATCTTATTGTTAGTCTATTTGGTTGTGGTGAAGGTTTGAGAGAGTCTTCTTTTAGCCTCAATATCCGGACAGCTAGGAGCTATTTCTAATCAACATTGCATGCAGTTAACTGATATCTGTCATTGAGGCCATAAGGTACAATTGTTCATGACACCTGAGTTACTAAAGAAATAATGGTCCAAGATTCTTGATTATTATCGAACAAGTTGAGATAATCTTACTTCCTAGCTCTGTAATTGGCAGGCATTCCGGTGCCATTGGGGTTTATACTGGAACCTTGGTCTCTGGTATTATGTAAGCATTGTTGGCATTTATTAACTGGAGAAGATGGTGGTGAGCTGACATCTGAAAATTGCAGTGCTTAGGGTGTAGAGGCACCTAAAATGTGATTTGGAAGGGAGTTCCAGGCTTTTGACCCAGCAACAATGAAGGAATGGTAATACAGTTCCTAGTCAGGACAGTGTGTGCCTTAAAGTGAAACTTGAACGTGGCGGTGTTCCCATACATCTGACACCTTGGTACCCAGCTCATATAGAATTACAGTGAGCAAGATTTCTGAGAGATCAGGAGCACATGAGAGCAGTTTGAAGTGAAATTAGAAGAATTAAATTGGTCTTGTTCAAACAATGTTTATAAAATATAGAGAGAAAATTTGACTAATGTGCATGCACCATAGGGCCAACAACAGAATAATACATTAATGAGAAATGAAAAATAAATGACGCTTTAGATTTTTTGATATTCCCGTCTGTGAAGCCTAAAAGAACAAATAATCAGAATATTAATATTCCGACCTGTATTTTGAACAATATACATATATGTAGCAATCCATCCTGCAAGGTATTGTCACAAGCCAGCACAGGAGACAGACATTCAGCCAT